ATAAATCATAAATTTTGCCATGAATGACGCTCATAGGATTATCAAAGTAGAAACTTGAGGGTTTTGAGAAATAATTAAGGAGATTTGCCTGGTGTAAAAACTTCTCAACAGATTCGAGAGAAACATATACGATTGTTTCACACTGATAATTTTTGATGCAAAATAATTCAATCAGAAAAATTCATGTAAAATCTTATAAATGACAAAATGATGCATCTAAAAGTTTCAAATTTTGTTACTTTCAATCTTTTATTTACAAAAAAAAAAATTTTTTTTTCTAGCATTTTATTTCTAAAAAAATAAGAAAATTTTGAAAAATACAAATTTGGAACAAAAAAATCGGTGTGAAAATTCTCAGTAATTTGCATTTCTTAAATTTGAAAAGAATTTGCATAATCGTTTCTTTTCTTTTTGAAAATGCAAAGTAATGGATTTATTGAAGGAAATATTTCATAATTTTTGATTTGTCACTAAAATTTGTGCAAATTAAAGAAATGATGAATGATGATGAAATGATGAAAGAAATGATGATGAATTACTGAAATTTTCATTATTTTCATTACTTGTGCGGAAGTTATTTCGTTATTTGGTAAATACTATGATAGTTAGCGTCAAAAGCAAGGTGGTCCAATCAAGACCTGGATTGGTGCAACCAGGTGGAACACAGATAATATGGACTTAGGCGGTGGAAAAAGGAATAGCTCCTATTACTGTCAACGATGGCATCGGATCCCGACCAGCTTGGAAATGTCTTACCTTTGTAGCCAGCGGAGCTAGTCTAAGTAATTGGTGAGAGCTGTTGCCGCCAATGGTGAGGTTCTATTCCTCGTAGGGATAAAATTGTCGGAAAATTGGAAGAGCGCTGGCGATTCACATCTACTTCTATGGACTATCAATGGACTACTTGGAATATTCGTTCACAGTAGCGTATAACAAAAAAATTTTATAGCAAAATTACATATTTTATTACAAATTTTTGGCCAAAAATAAAGGTTTCTTACATTTTTCCTCAGTTTTCTTAGCATTCTTTTGGAATATAACGCGATTAATTTGTCACCTTTACAAATCAGATCGCAAGCCTAACTGAATTCATTTTTTTAACTTATAGTATTTTAAATTTCTTTGAGAACTGTAAAATGAACAAATCTTCGTATTTTTTTATTGATTCATAGCCTCATTATTTTAAATTATGTTTTTCTTTTTTAAAAATCTCATTTAATCGAACAATCTTTTTATAATAATTTAAGAAAACTAAAAAATTTAAGGAATGAAAACTCATTGATAATTTTCATTGAAGATTGTTTTAATTTGTAGTATTTTAAATTTCTTTCGGAACTGTAAAATGAACAAATCTTTGTATTCGTTCATTGATTCACAGCCTCATTATTTTAAATTATTTCTCTTTTTTGCAATTATATCATTAGACTAAATAATTTTTATATTAAAATTTAAAATTTTAAAATTAAAATTTTATCAATTGTAATCAGTTTAGTGGGCCCGAACTTTAAAAATATTCTTTTTTCTTAGGTTCTTTATTACAAAAATATATTCTGGAAATGGATAAATTGAAATACAAAATGAAATATTGGCGAGATATTTTTCTTACAACTTTTTTTATGTTCTGTATTCTAATTTTCCAATTTTAAAAAAATTTCAAAATTGTTTTAAACTGTTCATTCTATGATATGATTTGAATTTAAAGGGCCTAAATTTTGCATTTCTTTTCTTTGAAGATGTTCGATATTAAAATATATTCGGAGATTCGGAAAAAAAATTAAAGGGAAATATAAAATATTAATAAAATATTATTGATAAATTTGCCTGAAGACATTTCAAAAGTCTAATGCCACGTAATATTCACTGAAAGATGTATGCGTTAATTAAATAACGAATTATGCAAAAACCATGTCTGGATCGACGACTGGATTTCGATTTTTGTCTCTATTGCAATCTCTCTATCTATCTCTATTGCTTCCTTATTTTTTTAAGCGTTTAGCGATCCTGGTTTCTGGTTAAGCGTGCTCTATTTACTGTTAGATTAATCAGAAATTTTTGCCAGGTGATCAGCCGCTTCAGACTGACTATAAATAAAGACGCGATCCGAATTTTTCAATGATAAAAATCTTAAAGTTCAACAGTTGCTTTATTTTGCTTTAAATATTTTATGAAAATTGGATAACTGCTGAAAAGAACTTTACAGTGATGGAAAAAGCATAAGGAAAATTGATAGATGGCGATGATGATTTTTTCAAGCTAAAAAAGCGAAAAGAAAATTTTTGCAATTCGTTTAATAAATTTTACTAAGCAATTGATGAATTTTTCATAAAAATTAACTAAGTAAAAATTTTTTTTTCTCATTAAAAACACTATGGTAGAAATTTATGAATGCAAATTATTGCTGATTAGATAAGTAATTTTATATTAAAAGAGAATTTTTAGAATTTTAAAGTTTTACAAAAATTTTAATTTTTATAAAAAATTTTATGCATTAAAATAAAATAAAATAAATAAAATAATTTTCTAAAATATAAAAAATTCCTCTTTTTAGACCTTATTTGTAGTTCATTTGTGCGATTATCTTAATCGCTGATTGCATTTCGTTGCGATAAGGAATTTTAACGAAGTTGCAATAAAGGAAGGCAAAACCATTTTTGTCCCGTTTACCTTTTTTTTTAAAGAGTCCTCACCATTTCTGCTGGTTAAACTCGCTCTGCTAGTTTGCATCACCGGACAAATACGCCAGGAAGTCTCTTGGCGATAGAAGTACAGGTGAGTCGTCAGCATCACCCGGATTCTTGGATAGGTTCACCTCTGCGGGGAATAGAATAGAACCTCGGTATTGACTCTCCGAATTGACTGACAACCTACTTTGAATTTTTGAAGTAACATTTTGAATTTTTAAAGGATTATTGAGAATATCCTTCTGCCGCCATAATTTGCCGTATATTGGACCTATAAAAAAGAAATGGAAGCGTCTCTCTCTCCATTAGTGAAATATGCAGCTAAGGAAGAAATGCAATATTTCAAAATGATTTCAAAAATTTTCAAATAAAAATTGCTATTTCGCTTTGTAATTATTTTTTGCACCTCTTTTTATGCGTAAAAAAAATTCTCGTTAATTTATCATTTGCTTTCTTAACAATATTTTCGTAAATTTATTTGACACTTAAGTAGTACCACAGGTTGTTTAAAAGCCTCGAAACGATTGTTTGGATAAGATAGAACTGTGACATGCAAAATTCAAAATTTTTCGTTATTTGGCTGCCTCCGGCATATTCACCATATGATACACAGCCTATTCAGTTGTAGTTCAGTTTTAATACATTCTTGAATGACGTTGAAATTCAGATTTGTAAAGGCTGCTTCAGTAGTAGTGCGTAGTATCTGTTGGTCAAAATATCACTGTCACTATCACTATCACAAAATATCACTAATTTCTTATTCTCGCAAATATAATTGATCAAATTTAAATATATATTTTAATTTTCATTAGTCATCTTTACTTGTTACAAATCTTTACATTGAAATTTGACAAATTTGGCATTTTACAAAGTAAAATTTAGGCGAATTTTCGCCTTCTTATCTTTTCAAATTGGATAATTTCAGTTTTTTGACGAAAATACTTTATTATTTTGAAAAATTATTGAGATTTAGAAAAATAGTTTTATAAAATACTAAAATATTCGTTATCGATAAAAAATAATTTCCGGGGTGATTCAGCAATAACGGCCATAATTCCGAGAAAAATCCCTCAAATAGAACTTCTAAACCTATTTGAACGACAAAAATTTTCTTTCTAAACAACTGGCAAGAATTCGCTTTTATTCGCTCTTTTTTACTTTAATATTTATTGCTTTTTAAAGCACATTTTAAATATTTGTTAAAGTTATTTAAAATTCTAGGTTATTTATTTAAAATTCTCGTTAATTTATCAATATTCATTTGCTTTCTTAACAATTTTTTGGTAACGTTTTATCCTTTAAAAATCGGATTCTCGAAACGATTATTTGGTTACGATAGGATTATAATGGGTTTGAAGCCGCTGCCTCAGGCATATTTAATAAATGGCATACAATCTGTTCAATAGGTCATATTTTAGTATAAAAATTGTACGTATGGAAAAGGCTGTATAAATAGAGTGCATAAGGTAGCACCTACTTTTTTTTATTATTGTATTTATTATTTAAAATATCACTAAATTTTTTATTCTTATAGAAATAGTTGTTCATAAATTTAAAAAAATGTATGGAATAAAACGAAATGAATGATAATTAGGAATGAATTTTTTTTTCTAAGAGCACTCACCATTGCTGATTAGGTTCATTACGCTGGTTTATTGGAGCGGACAAATTTTGGCAAAGAATCGCTTGGCGATAGATGAATCGCGAAAATAATCGCGAAATTTTTGAACGACAATGGATTTTTTTCGCGGTACGAGAATTCTAGCATTGGCGCGATTTTACTCTCCTCGCCGTTCTGCAATGTTATTGCCCTTCGAGGCGTAGTGCGGGCTTATAATTTCAGTTTTCGGTGCAATTGTCCTCTATGTGTCATTATTTGGTTTTTTAATATTTGTATTTTTTTTGTAATTTAAAATTTTATCAAATTTTTCTTATTTAAATCCTTTTAAATTTAACTTATTATTTTATTTTTTTATGAAATTCGATTTACTATTTAAAACATCTGTTCCATAGAGTAGCGAAGCTTTCGTCAAACCAGGTCATACTGCTTGATGTTCCCTCAAAATTCAGTATTTTCCTAATATCCTTAGTAGGCTGCTATTTTCATCGCCTTATATCCAATTATTCTTTCTTAACGTACCTCTTCACATAAATACTTATTAGCTTTCTCGGTACTTAATCGACCATCGTATTATCACTGCTTCTTTAAAATTGTTCAGAGAGCAGAAAAAGTGCACTGCAGATTTTGTTGGTGAATTAAGGGAGCATTGTGAAGGTGAGTGGTATTATTAACATGAAGGGTAAGGTGGCAGGGAAGATATGTTACCGGTGAATTTTGGCACGGCTCGACCTTACAGAATATTAAGGGAGCATTTAACTGGGCCTATTTCACAAAAACTTTCGCAGTTTTTGAATAAGGTTGGTGTGCATGGATGCACTTATGTTAGTAATTTGGTATTTTATGTATGGTTTATTAGGAATGATTGTCACGTTTTGCATGCATTCGAGGCTTTACGAATGATTCTGACATGAATGATTTTCAGAATTTTAATTCGAAAGGAATTGCCATCACGCGAATTTAAGAGGAGGCATTCTCTTTGTCTCATCAAGAATCAACAGCCTTATAATATTCTATTGCTTCAATGGCGTCTGATAGCTATGTGCCGAAAGACCCCGTTTTGTCTTCACCCGAGTTATTATTATAAGCTTTCAAACATCGCTATATTTTATTGTTCTGATTTTTTTTTTGAATTTTTTCATTTATTTTTCTTTTATTTTTTATAAGGAATATTTTCCAAATACCAAAAATTTAATTGCAAAAATCAAGAAATTTCATTAAAGAAGTTATTTATGATCTATGAGTTAATGTTTATCCTTGATCTATTATCACAGATTTAAGGATTTGAATTCAATTTTCGATAGAAGTACATTTTAAGCCTTAGTAAAGCTATAAATTTTTTCCAGGTCTATATCAGAAAGTATCACTGTATTTGGAACCAAGCGCCAACAAAAATCTAAAGTTATTAAATTTCGTGACATAAATATTGATTGTTCAGCCTTACTTAAAGTCGATAAAAAGGTTTATTATTTTCAAATTATTCTATGAATTTGATCGTATTTTAATTTTTAAAAAAATGAGTGTTTACTGGTCACCATTTCTGGTTAGACTCGCTGTAGTTGTTAGTACGGCTAGAAAATTTTGCTAGGGAATCATTTGATGACACAAGCACAAGAAGGTTGTTCATAAGGATTGATTATTATTTGTAGTTTACTGAATCGTTGGATGAATGGATGCGATCTTTTTATCAATCTATAGTCCAAGGAGAACTGTTAACGTTTTGTCGTCGACTTCAATATATCGAAGTGATCCTTAAAAAGAGTGAGAATGGCGTCGTGTATCAGAAAATGGGTGAAGAAGAATTGATTCGATTGATGATTGCGGTATTTCCTTTAACAGTTTTGAGAATCGTTTTATGCATATTCACTTATTTATATGATCTGGGAATAATCCTTCTTTAATTGGTCTAAAAGTAAATATGCAAAATACTGCAATTTTTCTCATTTATTTATTTTTTTATATTTCAGGCAATTATCAAAAATTTTGATCAAGATCTTGGTAATTGCTCCATACTGCACCAGCTTATCGTAAGACGGAACAAAATGCAGTCTTGCAGTGAACGAGACCATGGATCATGCAAGTCAGTTGCAAGATTGTTTTACGATATTGTTTAAAATTCTGATTTTGATTTGAAAGATCAAATCAGGTGACAAAAATTGAGTTTCATTTTTTTTCATTTTTTGTTTTTATTTAATTTAGGATGCTGTTTTCGCTTTTATATTGGATGCCGCACAAAATGCGTCAAAACCTTTTGAGTCGAAAAATTATGAGTTCTGGTCGAACTTTGGTACATTTTGTAGCAGCGGTCGGTGATCCATGCTTAATGAATGTGCTCAGAAATTTTGGTTTCTCCTATTGATCATTCTTTTTATCAATGTTTTTTAAAAGTTTAAGATACTTGTGAAAGATACTTTTAATTGAAATGAAGCATCCTGCAAGTATCTGAATTTATATTTTCTAGATTTCTCTGTTGATGTATTAGACAATTATGGGAATACTCCATTGTTTTGGGCATTAAAACATGACAGTATCGAAATGGTAATTTCTTTTATGTTAATGGCTACCGATATTTATAGAATAAGTGATTAGCATTGTAATTTCTTAATCTTTATTTTATGTGCCATACAAATTATTTTGAATCTATTCTATCGCCATCAGACCCATGTCGTCAACTTTGAAATTATGCTTATGCTCTTTTAATTCGATTTTACTTTGATTAAGGTGAGAAGATTATTGTGGTATGGTTCGGATATATCTTTCAAGCAGTCTTTGTCTGCACTTATCACCAATTCTAAAGTTTGTTCTGCTATGAATAATATCTTTTATAAACAATTAATTAAATAGGCTAATTCAGGAATATCAATTTTTTAAATTTTCATCAGTTTTTCTAATCCATTTTTTATCTTGAGTATGATGAAGTATCTTTCAATTTGGGAACAGATTTTTATCCAACTAGTTTGCAGTATACGATTAGATACTCTATTTTCTATCATTTTTCGTATGGTCCGGTGGGTTATAGAAATCATTAGTGTATAAGTTGTATCATTTCAAAATTTTTTCAAGACCCAAAAAAATATTGTTTCAAGGTCGAAAAATTTTTTATTGCCCGTCGTGAAGCTCTTGAAATTTTAATTAATGAGTGGATAAATGAATTTGTTTCTGGTGTATGGACGTTGAATGTGGATGCGGCAGTCTCTGATGTTCATTTCACTCGCGTCCTTTGCGAAGATCTTCAGTCACTGGATAAGAAGACAATTGTAAGATATTTTTAAAAGCATTTTTTTGATAAAATTTGAATTTGATCCATTGTTTTCCATTATTTTATATTTTTTAAGATTTGACTATTTTGCTGTTTTTTGCTTCATCTAAAAGATTATTGAAAAGATGGTTTTTTGGTTTTGAGGAATTTTAATTTGATTTTACTTGCTTCCTATTTTTGATTTCAAATGCATAAATGAAAGCGGTAGAGCTGTTACTATAAAAAGAGATTGTTTGAATATAATATTGAACCATTTAATTATGGAGATTGACGGAAAGTTCCATCTTACTTTCAGATCCAAGTGGCACTTAATGTGAATGTGGATACTATATCTCTTACAAATTGGCCTCTCTCGGTGAGAATGAAATTTTTCTAAATTTATGCGTTGCGAATTTCGACAGGTTTATAATCTCTTGCTGTTTGAAATACGTCTCTAGCGACCAATTCTATGTTAATAGATATTTTTTAATATTTCTGACTGTGGTATGCATGTATAAAATTTCAATTTTTTTTTGATTTTTTTATAAAATGAATGGAATGGTATAAAAAGTATCTTTAAGCTTTTTTTAGATTTTGTTCATCATCCCATGCTTCTATAAAAATGAAGATCGGTTCGCCGCTGTAAAAGATCCTAAACTTAGCCGCTCTTCGTTTTATAATAAACAGACTGGTGATATAATAAAAATTTTCAAAAAAAGACCACGGTAAAAGTTTTGTGATAAATATATATAAACACAAATATATAAATATAAATTCATATAATTATATTATAATATTTAATTATTTAACTCTATATTGTGTTTATTTCGGTTTATAAGTTGGAATTTGGTGTAATAAGATTCTATTGGAGCGTTGCTGGTCTTTCATTTAAAGTTATAAACTGATATAAACTAAAATTTTTTTCAGGCTGATGCGAGAAAATGGCGATTCAGATGAATGCATTCCTCTCAATGCGGCATTTACCATTCCTCATAATGGTCTATTCTATGCTTATGAGATGCCCAAAGTGTTTAAAGGTTTGATGTAAAATTTTTTTTATTTATATATTTGAAAGCACCATTTTCGCTATATTCGGCAAATGTCCTACGAATCTTTCACTTATTTTTTTTTTTTTTTGTTTTTAATGATAATGAATTTTCAGATACATATAAATTGCAATTGACTTTAAATAATCTGCAACAACTTGAAAGCAATGCGCATGCTATGCTCCTTGCATTCAGGGTGCTTTCGTGCTCAGCTCCACTTTATTCAGAATGGCATTTGCGTTACAAATGTGATAAGAAAAAAGTAGCGTAGTTTGCTTATAATTTATACAGGATTAGTTCGAATTTAAACTTTTTAGTTTTACTACTTTTCTTAGTTCTTTTCTTCTACTTGTTTTTTTTTTTTAAAGCGGGTCAGAGCATAATTTTTTTTACAAAGAATGGAATGAAATAATATTGCAATTTTTAAATTTTTTGTGTAAATGTGTAATTCCATTTGCTGCGAAATTATCTCTGTAAAGTTTTCTTTCATTGATTTGCCCTCACAAATTTTGCTTTGAACTTAGGGCTAAAATTGCTTGAAATTGTTCAGTATTCAATTTCTTACAATTACATTTCTTCTTCTGTGATTGTTACATTTTTTATTTGGGTAGTTTTAATTTTTTTACGTGTAATCAAAAATCTTTACGGCAGATTTTACGGGCCATTTGCGAAAAAAAATTTTTTTTTTTCGTTTTATGAATTCAAAATTTTCATTCCTACTTTTTTTCTCTATTATTTTCCGTTTTCTATATTTTCTAAATTTTTTCTAAATTTTTGGCACAATAAATAGACAGTGATTCTAAGCTATCGCTTCTTCTATTGGCAGTTGTTTTCGATATGATACTGAGTCTTTTTTTTCCACCTTTTATTTTTGCATATCACTGAATGTTCTTGAAAAATGCTTTTAATTGCTTTGATTTCATTCTAATGGCGATTCTTTCATTAGCGAAATTAATTAAAAAGTTTCATTTTCATTCAAAAAAAATATGCCAGTTTTTTGATGTCATAGTATTCCAGCACTTAACCTTTTCTGGTTTGGCTGAGTGAAGCAGAGTGATTGCCGAGTAGTGATTAATAGCCCAGATTACCTTATTGAAAGTCAGAGATTCGTGTTCTGTTCCTGACAGGAGTAAACGTATCACTGAAAAATCTGGTGGTGCTGACGGCTCATTTGTACTTTGATCGTCGCTGCAAAATTTGTCATCGCAGAGTTAGCGTCACTAGAAATGGCTGAATACTTATTTTACGGTTGTTCGAATGGAACCATTTCACCACAGAAGTTCGTGAGTTACTATCTACATATGGTTTATAATGATAGGTTTATTTTAAAAATCAGGGAGTAAATTTTCGACGATGTAAAAAAGAATTTGCCAGATAGAAATTAACATTTCAAGAGTTTCACGTCAATGAATACAGTCAGAAATTCTTCTGCCTGAGAAGAGTTTGCTTATAATAAATAAATTGGTGAATGGTTATCTCCTACAATTTATCTTTTATCTTTTTACTTTATCTTTTATTATTCTTGTCGCATTCATAAAAGATCGATGAAGACTTGAAGAAATTGATAAAATTGCGAATTAAAATTTAATTCATTTACATGCCTGGTGATGTTGCGAAATCCTTGTGTACTTCTTTTCTTAGGTGACCTGTCAAAGATATAGAGTAATCATTGGAGGCTAAATCCGAAATAGTGGATGTTGTTGGAAGAAAAAAGGGTATGGTATAATCTCTAATTCTTTGACAGGAGTAAACCTGTAATACAAATCTAAAATCGTACTGGCTGATATGGATCCATTTATACTTCTATTCCTTATCTTAAAGCTTCAAACGATTTTCGCACAGCGTGCATACCTCTCTCTCTCGATGCACGTAGTATCCTTAGCTCGGTAACACATGGATAAGTATGGAAACGGTGATCGGAAAAAGAATAATTGTGATCTCTGGAACCAAGGGTAATTTTTTTCAGTTTAGGAAATTTGCATTTGGCTCAGTTGAATAATTGGCAGTTGGATGTATACACACAATGAGATCTTGGCTATAGCTGCGTGGAATGCCAAAATTCTAATGCAAGTTTATCACGTTTGCTAGTCGAAATTCCGCCTTTTTCAATCTGAATAATTATTCTTTCTAGTTCAGAGTAAAGATACTGGTTATAATATTGTGATACTCTGGGTAATTTACATCGAAACAGTGTAGCGATTATTCTAAAAGCGTTCATTCACCATTCTTGGTTAAGCTAGCTCCGCTTGCTGTTAGAAATTTTTGCCAGAAAATTATTTCGCGGTAGAAGTACAAATAAGTCGCAGATACCACCCAAACTTTTTTTGAAGATGTATTTATTCCTATCAGGGGAATGAGTCGAATCCTTTCCTCTAGTAAAATCAATGTCCATTTGATTATTCCACCTCCTTCTCCGCTGTAGACTGTCGAATCATACTTAATTGTTGTTACTTTAGCACTGATTTGCACCTTAACACCAAAACACTCTTCGTTCATAGCTTCCACTTCATCGAATGCAAACACTATAAAACACTACTTATCTGAATTCAGTAATAATGAAAATCATTTATTTTTTAGTTGTAATATTCGATAAAACTTTCGAAAAGAAATCTTGAATTCTGTACAACATTATAGTGACGATTTTAGTTTTGTACTATTTTAAGGAAAGGGATAGAATGTTATGGAAGATTATAAGTATTATTTAGGATGTCCGTGGAAGATTTTAAATATTACTTAGAATGTCTGTGTTCGTCATTTCGTTCAATAAAAGATGAAGATTCTCAGGTTTTTTTAAAATTATTTCTATTTTTTATTTTATTTTTATTTATTTTTTTATGTAAATTTTTATTTTTTAGGTTATTTTCATTATTTTTATATTTTTAATGTTTTTTTTTTAAAGCGAATCAGTTCATAGACCCTTTCAATTCTTTAGTTTGATTTTTAAAATTCAAATTTTTTTAAATGTTTTGTCAAAAAAAACGTTAAAAACGTTAAAAATTTTCATTTTATTTTTATTATGAAATTTATTTTTTTTGAAAATTTCCGAATTTTTTGAAATAATTTTTTTTAAATTTTTTGTTTATATATTTGTTCCTAATTTCTTGTTGTATTTTATATGGTTTTTTTATTTTACATTTATAAAAGTTTGTGAATTTTTATTTATTTTTTCTGCATTTCGTAGCCTCATTTTCCTTATTTTCTAAATTTTCATTTTTCACAGAATTAGTTTTGACGTTTCTGCATTAATATGGAACCATTCGATAAAATTTTAATTGATCTTTCCATATTGAGCGAAGTGTGATATATGGTTTACAACATTTATTTAATTCCTGTTTTTATATAGTTTTTTAATATTTTCTTCATTAATCTTTCATAATTCTCGCTTTTTTTTTAAGGTAAAAAGCTTACGTTTGCTAGAGAATGCAGTTCATGATCTTACCTCATTTTTGTGTCGACGAAAGTTGGAAAATAATGCCAGTCGAACAGTCACTCAAGAAGCTGAATGGCTTATACAGGTATCATCAAATTTAAAAATGTGTATTTATCATGTATTTGCCACTTAATGGTGTTCTTTGCAAATTTTATATTTGAATGATAATGAAAATATATTATGACAATATGAAGTCGGATGCTTTAATAGTTAACTATCTGGCAAAATTTTTCTGGTCCGATAAGCTACGAGTCTGACCAGCAATTGTAAGCGGTCCTTAAAAAAAGTGTTAATAATTGTATACATTCCGTAGCGAAATGAATAAAATAGCTGAGAATTTATTGCGCGATTTTGCTCTTCCTCTCACATTTTTTAAACTTATGAATGAAGTTTATAGAATGTGAGATGAAAATATATCCCCCTTTTCTTCATTTTTCTTTAAGTTTTTAAATTTCATCCATTCTTTATTAAAGGTTTCATTTTTTCTTGCTTTTGCTGCATATTATTTTTTTCTCACAATATAAACTATCAGATTTGATTTGATTTCACTTTCTCAATGAAGCCTTGATATTATTTAGGAAACATATGGAGAAGCTTGGTCAGAACAGAATCAGAATCCAGCTGTCGTTGGAAATCAGTTTGAAGATTTTCTTTATAATCATGCAGCTGCCAATGAAACTGAACATGACTATCTTATGACAGCTTTATTCGACTGTGGTGTTAACAGTAGCAGTGATTTTACTAGTGAAGAATTGTCCTCAAATGAGCAAGCGGTTGATAACACTTATCATAAAGGATGTTCAAATATATCGGGTTCACTTTTTGGAGCATGTCCTATGAACAAGTCACTAAATTCGACGAAAAAAACTAACAACATTCATCAGTCCGAAAAAATGGAATGTGCCTCATTGGATGTTGGCGCTATTATTTATCAAAATTTTAACAAAGTTGGAAGGCCAAAAACTGGAATTAATTTGACATGTGCAACGTGCGGTATAACTTTTGAGAGCAGAAAACAGCTATATAGGTCATTCTTGCGAAAATTTCGTTTTTTCAATTTTTTGTGTTTTTTGTATAACATTTCAGAATCATCTTTTTCTTTTACTGTTTTTCCGGCAACTCAGATTCAGCTTGATTCCTCTCACATTTAGTCATTATTTAGTCGACACTTCTTTTTTGCCTTGAATCCATTATAGTACATTTAGGGAATATCTTGCCGTCATTTATTGCCATAAATCCAGGAAAAGAGAGGTAGAAATTCTCTCTGACAATCAGTGATTGATTTCTTCATTTCGTCCTCTCATTTTTGAAACTGGAAGTGGGATGGCTGGTCTGGTCACATGATGTAACATATTTTTTTCTCATATCAGTGGGTATCTACTTTGATGATTGAAGAGTTGAATATAGAAAACAATTTCTCCTCACTTCACATAACGGCAATTATTTCATGCTGTCTTTCCAAAGATGTCGTTGTAATAATTAATATATTTCAATAATTTGGCTTGAAAAATGCTTGCAATAGAAAACATTTCTATATCGCTTTCTGAGACTATTCATACCTTTGTCAACACCGCACATAGCTTGAGGATAGGATAGTATATCTTTTATTATGAGTTCATCCAAAGATTTTGTGTGATGACATTTTTTGTGTTTTTTCATTTTTATGCAGGTCTTGCTTCAAACAATAGCATAACTTGGTCTGATCCTTGAAAACCAGTTTCAGTGGTAATAACGAATCTCTAGTTCAGAAACTTGCAAATAAAGAGGTATTCATTAGCACAACAGATTCCAGGCTCCTTATTTGCTGCAGGCAACCGAATACAGCGTGGTAGCATCATATTCTACGCCTATCAGCCATCATTATGTTTCTGAGGCGGGTTCTGTTAGCAGATGATGTTTTTTTTTCTTTTTCTTTGCCTTTCAACTTCATGATTAGATTTGCGTATTTCATACTTTTCATTTGTTATCATGCGTATTGAAATGTGCGGACACCATTTGGTTTTTCAAATGATTATTTCACCATGGAGTCACGGGAGATAGAAATAAAGTTAGGTTCCAAACAATCGCTCAAACAGTTTTGTTATAATTAAAGTCATTTTTTTAAGGCATGGAAAAAAGGTAGAGCATATAACGCATTCAAGCAATCGTAATGTTAAGCGTTTTTTAAATTGCTTATGTTGTTCATATACAACTAACGTAAAATGTAATATGAAAAGGCATATCCAACGTTGTCATGGAGGAGTTAAAAAGTTGGTTTCAGTTTCTTTCTGACAGGTTTGGTCTTGAGATTATGAAATTAACATTTGAAGCTTCTTATTTTACAGTTTTCTTCTCTAATTTTTAAAGTTTCTTATTGAAACATTTGTAGTGTTTTATGTGCATTTTGTGGAAAAGGCTTTAAAGAAGTGGGTGCGATGAAAATTCACATACGATACGTTCACGAAAAAAGCAAAAATATGGTGGTAAATTTTTTTCTTGGTATAATCGTGGTAGTTTCTTCCATCTATCGATTTTTATTCACCTGTTTTGGTTGGTGCGATTGTTGGTAAAACTGGGTCGAAGTTTGATGCTCGATTTTATTCTCCCTTTTCAAAATTTCGTAAAGGATAATTTCGTGGAAGGTAGTCAATCAGAGTGGTTAGGGAAATATAGCAAATAAACATGAATAGATTGAATTTTTGCTATACTTTGTCTCTGGTAACTGAAGAAAATTTTTTTCGTATTGTTTGATTACAGAAACATGTTTTTTCTGAATCTTTCTGTTTCTTTAGGCCTTAAGGTTTTAATTAAAGGAATGAAAAGAAAAATTACAGAAGCCGTAGAATGAATTTGAAATAGATCTTTTCGTATGAATTCCACGAGGTTGTGATTGACTGATGTTTTGGATTTAGATAGGAGATCGTAAGTACCTCATTCTTTAAATAGGCAATAACAGTGAGGGAAAAAGGAAAATTACGACGAAGAACTTCCAACCATGGGATTATTTTCATCTCCTTGTTGTGGGTTTTAAGTGGTTTGACAGGATGTTAAATTGTAAATTTAAGTTTCAGGGATGATTGCTTTCACATCTTAAATAATTAATGCATTCATTAAGAAATTTCATGAAGATCAAAGGTGTTTTGAGATCATAATTAGGTCTGAGTGGGCTGAATGTTCATTAAGTTTACTTCATTAAGAAAAAGAAAAAAATTCGAAAAGGCGCAATAAGTTAACGTGTCAGTTTTTTCATATCTAGTTCATATCATTAAGCTCGACAAATAATAAGACTAATTTTTGGATTAATCGTAATTGTATATTCATATCGTCTTTTTAGTGCACGAAGTGTGAGAAACGTTTTGTTACTTCATCAGATTTGGTTCGTCATATGCAGATTTGTCATATGTTTTTTAAATTGTATCCTTGTACGTTGTGCGGTAAGGAATTCAAAACTCTGGCTAATGCTAGACATCATCGTCTTGAAAATTGCGAATGCAAATTATAGTTGGAGAAGAAATTAATCTAGTTATATAATTATATTTCTTTTTGTTATAATTTTAAAATTTTTCCAACCTCTTTTTTTCCACTGAAAAAGACCGATTTCTAGTTCAAAAAAAAATTATCTCTTTCTATTATAGTTTTATAATTTTCCAACCACCGAAACACTGAAATCCAAAATTACTGTGTCGGCCGGGAATCGAACTCGGGCCGCCCGCGTGGCATACTTTTCGCTGCTAATCATTGCCCAAATAACTGAATTGAGGCTTGGGTTCTAATGCACCATGTTGCCTGTCAGGGCAGCAGTGTCGCTTAATGGAGAAAGGCAAAAGAGCGTAGAATGGCTCATGCTTACTTCGGAGCGATGGATGATTAATTTGGAGGGTTCGGATCACAGCCAACTCCATCTATTTTTCTGGTAAGGAGTTCTTAGCCGAGTCCTCGGGATCATCTGGAAGCTTATTTGTCTTATTTCGATCTCCCAGGCCTTTGGTAGAGGTTGAGGGTGACTCATACAACCCGTAAGAGGTGAAAGGCAGAATATAATAGTATTATAATAGTAAGGCAGAATATTATATGGTATCATGCCATATCATGCCACTCTCCGCTGGCTGACACTGAGAAAAATAAGGTTGGAAAAAGTTGGACTAAAAGATTGAGGCAGTGAGAAAGATCATAGCAGCACAAGAGCATCAGATTCACTGAAACAGGGATTTACCCCTAGCATGGGCATCAATTTTTTTCAATTATTGTTTTAAGTAAGGAAGAGCGAAACAAAGTTTGTGATGTTATCGTATTCACAGTTATTGTATAATTTTATAAATTGATAATATTGTATAAATATTTTTTTACAAATATATTTATTTATAATATTCGTAAACAAATTAGAACATTTGTGGAAGTTCACCATCATATTTAAGGTTTTTTTCTTTTATACTTATAAAATTATTCAAGGTTTTTTTTTCGAGTTCTTCAATCGGAATTCAGTCATCATAAATCACAAGAAAAAACATTATTTAGTTAAAGTGAATTGTTCGGCCATAGTTCGGTCGATAAATAGTCTTTCGGCTTTTTTGTAGTCCGAGTTTTAGTATAATCAGGGAAAGTTCTCTCTGACCTTAACGAGACGCTTTTTCTTCTCAAAGAAAATTAATTACTTTAAGTGTTCATTGTTAATTTCGAATTTTTAGATATATTTGGGTATATTATTTTGTAAATCTGCAATAGAATTTTATAATTTCGTCGAAAACTAGAATGTCGAAAATTAAACGGAAATTGAAAGCTAAAATTCGAAATTCGAAATCGTCCAAGAAGAAATTCTTGGATGATTGGAACGCAATTGTAAGCAATAATACGAATTCATTGGAGGATTACGGAAAAGAGCAGTCAGCTTGTAAGTGATTGATTTTATTATAAGTGATAGGCGTCAAATCATTTTGTGCTTTAGCTTTGAGAGTCGTTGATAAAAATAAAATTATCATTAGCTGATTATGAAATTAGCCGAATGTAAGTTTGATTTTCGATCATTGCTAGCAGTAGTAGTAGTGGGTTTTTTTTTTCTTTTATATATAATACGTTATTGAATGCTTATATTAAGATTGAACTATATTTGCATTTAATTTTTTTATCAATCGATTTATTTTTTGATAAAGTTTTATCAAAAAATTAATCATTTTAACTTTTAACTCATTGTTTATTTCTACTATTAAAATTTTAATATATTTTGATTTTTATTATTTGTTATCAAATTTCTAGATGCCGTCTTTCGAGCTAATATTAAAAACTCTAGTAATAATTGCGAATCGGAAATGCAATTGCATGAGGTAAAGGAAAAAGGACAAGACGAACATTTATCGCTTAATGAAGTAAGTGAAGCAGTTAGTGCTTCTGAACAAAACTCTCGTGAAGATATAGCGCATCGAAAGAAGAGCGATGTACGACGGTTAAGAATTAAGAAAGCAAAAAGATCGCTTCACAATATACAAGAATCTAGAGGAAATGCAAAACAGAAAAAAAAAGAACACTATTCGGTAGCTAAAACGAATGTGGCTAAATCGAATAGAGAAATTAGAAGTCAAACAAAAAATATACAGATGGAAAACAAATCTATTGAAGGCACAAGTAGGTTTTTTTTGGGAAAATTTTTTTTAGGGGCTATTTGAGTTCAGTAAGCAGTTAAAATCAAGGACACAAAATTTTTCGATTCGATTTTGGCTATAAGATGTTGAGAAAGAAACGGGGTATTTATAGAGCTTCTTTAGAATTGAAAAGAATACAGCGAAGTAATTTGTAAAATAAATTTAAGGATCTTATAAATTATAAGTTTGTAAAATAAAAAAGAAGCCTGCAAAAAAGATTTCATCCTAAGTAAGTGAAAATTAATAGATAAATGGTGAAATAAATAAATAAATTTAATGGATAAATTTAATAAATAATTTAATAGATAAAAGTAAAATTTCAAAGTTATCATTAACAAATTAATTACGAAATTTGTAGAAGGCGCTGTTGGACGAAATATGAATGAAAATGTCTCACAGGAAAGTTCGTTTTAGCTTTATAAAAATGGTATTTATTAGATTTGAATATTTTGTTATTATATTCAGCATTTCGAATGTAATGATATTAGCACTCGTTTACTAGGATGAGGCATTTTTAATTCCTTCGATTCAGAACTATATTTGAAAATAGCTGAAGCTGTCTTTTTTATTACTGTTTTCGACCGTATATTGCTATAACGCCTTTCTGTTCAAGTTTTGATTGGATCTGCTGGTTTTCTACTTCACTCATCAGACATGGCATTTGCTTTTTTTAGAAAGACTCCATTAATAACCAGAAATCCAATGGAAAGTATATATAAAAAAGGGAAATGAAGCAGAGTATACGAAAAAAACTTACAATAACTATACACCTACAATAAAACACCTACAATAACTATAATTTCTAAAATGACTTGTTTGGTTTAAAAAATTTATCTAATTTTCTCCTTAGATGATTCACTGGTTAATGTAAAGCAAGACTATATCGATCATTCGGCCAGTACGATGAAAAGGAAACGCAAAAAGCAAAAAAGAGGTGGGTTAGATTTAGTTTATTATCTTCTAATTTTTTAATTTAACAATTTCAAGGTTTTTAATGTTTTTTTTCTTTCCATTCTTTTCTCCTCGTCGGCCAAACTTCCGTTTATTTCTTATTTTTCCCTTTTTTGTTTAGGAGTGTTTTTTTGGCAATATATCTTTTTTGACGATAGATATGACGATGATTTCCATCACATAATAAGAAATAAAATTTTCAGCAGAAAAAGACATATCATTTAAGCAGTGCAGAGTGCGAAATTCTGATGATTACAATGTTTTTGATGAAATAATTGTTGTGGACGATAAAATTTCTGAAATGCCTAATGATGAAGTAGGTTCAAGAATTAATTTAACTACTGGAAAGTTATCGGAAGAATTGGATTTTCCTTTTTGCATAAAAAATAAACAAGAAAGTGATAATAAACAAGAAAATGATAAGCAAGGAAGTTTAAGCGAGCGAGAAGTTTCGATAGATTCGAATGCAACATTGAAAAGAGGTTATCATTATTTTAATTAGATCGTTAATTAAAATTATTTATGTAGATTTTTCCTCGTAGCGGAGTTTTTTTTTGATAGTGAAATATGTGCAGTTTTTACGAACTAGTTCAGTATTTAACCAGTTGTGCTATTTAAATCGGGAATTTGAGAAATGATAGCATAAAGAAAAGAATTATAGAGACGTAACATCTTTCTAGAAAAGTCGAACAAAAATGAACAAAAAATTCACGAATTCTTGGTACTTTCGACTGACCTTAAGCCTTTTGAATGTCACTCCATCCAGTCCTCTGTTGATTTTTCGGCGATGCCATTCTCCAAATTGCAAGATTCTGTCGAAAACGGAAAGGAAGCATTTGCCTGGATCATTGCTCCATATGATATTGAAATATTTTTCAGGCTCGTCCGCCTTTCATTGTTTAAGATTGTTGATTATTGTTTTTATCGGATTTGTTCTATTTATTTTTTATTTATCGTAGTTATCATATTTGTAAATCTTGATAGTTTTTCATATCTTTAATTCAATTTTGCAGGAATGTGTTTGAAAGGAAAGTTTATGTTACAAATCGAAAAGAACCCAATTATTACGGTGATTTGTTCAGCTCAGCTATGTTTGTTGAAATCCTTCAAAAAGTATTTGCTTCTGTCATGCATTGAATTTTTATCACAGTATGGATTCTTAATACTTTCTAAATTATTATGTGCTTCGAATTGATTGGTGATGAAATTTTGATTTTCAGAATTTTGTAGAATATGGTACAAATATAAATGTGGCATTATATAATGGTGATGAGCGTAAGACCTTAAATGGCACTGGTCGTGTTTATCCGGAGCAGATAAAAATTCACCTAAAGGTTTCATAATTTCTGTCATTATTTTGCAAATTTCTTTTTTTAAAATCTTTAATTCAACTGGTCCTCTTAAATAACTGATTTCGACAGAATATAATGGAACTATGAATAGTAAATAATTAATTCTTTAATTTACATTGATTAATAGAAGTAATAACTTACATTATTATTGTTGTTACTGTTATTTTTATTACTATTTTTATTTTCATTTTTTTATTACTTTTTGTTTTTATTTTTATTGTTTTTATTATTTACTATTAATTTTATATTTTATCAACTGTTATTATTATTATCTGTTATTGTTTTATCTCTGTTATTATTATCCTTGTTGTTGCGGTAATTATTTCTCATTCGTCTTTTACAAGCGAAGATATGGTGAAATTCCTTATTTTTAGGAAGGGCGTTCAATACAATTAATCAATCCTCAAACATTTTGCGATAATGTTTGGTATCTGTGTGATACACTACAAGAATTTTTCGGTTCATTTGTTGGTGCTAATACGTAAGAATTTATAAAATATTTGTATTTTGGAATATTAGAATTCAAAAAAAATTTTCAGCTTAAATTAACAAAAAGTATGAAAAATTTTTTCAGTGAAGAAAGAATTTTAAAGTTGTCTGACATTTTTTGAAGTTTATACATGAAAATGATTTATCCTATTTAGATATCTAACTCCAGCAGGATCGGCTGGTTTTGCACCTCATTGGGATGATATTGATGCATTTTTAATGCAAATTGAGGGCAGAAAAAATTGGAAAGTTTATGCTCCGCAAAATGAATGTGATGAATTACCTCGTGAATCTAGTAGTTAGTTTTATATAGACTCACAGTTTTTTTAAACAAGTATGATTTTATTCGTGAGAAATTGAATTTTTAATGTTGAAATTTATATTTCATTTTTTTGAGAAAATTTCTCGAACGATGATATGAAAAATGCAAAACTAATATTCGAAGGATGGCTGGAACAAGGCGATTTACTTTATATTCCAAGAGGATTTATTCACCAGGTATTATCCAGTTTTTAAGGATTTATTGAGATATTGGCTAAAGTCTTTCTAGTAATTGTGCAAATGAAGATTATTCAAAGGTAACCGTCATATCATCTAAGAAGTGCTGTGGCAGTTTCTTGTGTAGCTTTAGCTAATCAATGTCGGATAAATATGGTCTTTCTACTAAAATAAAATGTTGTCATAGCTACATCCAACATCTTTGTTTGAAATAAATGTTGTCTTCATCATTTCCTCTAGTCTTTAGTCTCTTTGACAATCTTCATACTTGAGTTGTAAACATGCTAAATCATTCTACGATTTTTCAGGGTTATACAGGAGCAGAAACACATTCATTGCACTTGACGGTTAGTTTTTGTAGGAATACGGCTTTTATTGATTTGCTAGAAAAACTTTTGCCTGTTACGCTCTCTTCTTTGGCCAATAATCTGCGTGGCCTCCGTCAGTCTCTTCCCGTCCAGTATCTTGATATGGAAGGAGTTCTTCGTAAAAATTACAAGCTGTCAGATCAGTTTGCTTTAAGGTACATTTTTTATTATTTTTTGTTTTATTCAAAATATATAAAAAATATATTATAGGTTATTTATGGTAAATACTGTTGAATCCTAAAATATGTGCAATATAACTGAATATTAAGTTAAATATGTAAAGGACGAATACGGCAACATGGTGAAGAATTTTAGATTTACTGACTTCCTTGATAGTCATCTTCAAAACCTCAGGGCATTTTCTTCTCAGTTTTATGCAGCTGGTTTAGATATGATGGCTTGTGACTTTATGAAAAATGCATTGCCACCCATGCTCACGCAAGGTAATATTTTTGTTCATTAATCTTATTTGGTTCTTTATTTATTGCTTAAAAAGTTAGTTCTGTGGATTGTCAAATGTGATTTTCAGAAGAGAAAAGATTAAGTGTTCTTGGCGATAGTAATTTTAATATCTTTGGCACTTTAAAAAAATTCAAGAAAACAACGGAAATTCGATTATTACGAAGGCATACGCAAAGGTCTTTTTGTATAATTTTTTCGTTCAATACTCTTTGGCCGTTGTTTTTTTTTATGGAAAAAGTGTAAAATGGAAAGAACTTTTTATTTCATTCGTGTTCACTTTTTGGGATTTTGTTTTGTTCCAAATAAGCCATTAATTAAAATGTGATTGTTTTAGATTGTTTTTCGAAACTGAGGACGAATGTTTTATCGCACACCGAATTGAAAATTCCAGAGTGAGTGAAGGTCGCCCAGAAGTTTTATTTAATCTTGATAAGAAGGTAATTATTGACTCCTATTTTTAATTTTTTATTATGATAGGTAATTTTAAAAACTTTAATCTTGAAAAGTTTAGTTTATATTTTTGTCTGGTAGGATTGAATCTTTAGCACTATCTCATACATTTTTTCTTAAAGTCGACTTGAATAAGATTATCCAAGGTTGGCTACCAATATCATTTTAAATTTGTCTTTTTATCCTATAGGCATATACACTAGTTTTCTTAAGTGTTTTGTTTTTATGTAATTTATTGAAATGCAAGTACTTATAAATGGGTGTTTTTTTAGTTCATCGACGGTTTCATTTTTCTCTCCAATTTTTACCCGTCTTGGTGTAAGGTGTCTGATTTACGATGCTCTCCTGAAGAAACTAACGTTGAACTTGCGGAACTGTTGTACAGTAATGGTATTTTGTTAGCTCGTTTTTAATTTTAGATGATCCAAATGGATTGTTGAAATATTGATTTACATTTTGATCTTATTGATTTAATTTTCTAATTTTGCTTCATCGTTTTATTTGTAAACTTTCTAATCGTACAGATTTGGTAATTTCTATTGTTCCTTTGAATTTCAATTTGAAATTCAGATTATTGAAAATTACGGTTTATTTCAAATAAAGTTACCTACTGCGTTTTTTTTCAACAGTTATTGTGAACTATGTTTCGTTTAATACATCGTCACTACACTATTTGAAATTTGTAGTCTGAAACCAACAAATGAAAGATTGAAAGAATTATAACTATAGGTTTAAAGGTTATAATTTTTTGGCTCGAGGTAGTCTGGAATTCTGGAGTATTTTTTAACAATGCCATGGATCTCGCATTTTTACAATGTACTACCGTTACTAATTATAGTATTATAATGAGGATGTTGTGATGACTTGGGATGACGGAAAATATTAGTGGGAATTATAAGATTTTTGAGATTAACGGATAAAAAAAAGTTCGAATAAATTGTGGAGGAAAATAATGAGTTTTTCCAAGTGGTACTCTATAGCATTAAGACGGTTCTTTATATATGCAGAAACATGAGGGTATGCTTTTACTAGTGCTTATAAGACTGGCGATTGTTTAGTGGCCACTTTAATGGAAGGGTCGGTTTACCTCTGTTATTGTGATATGTGGAAAATAATGCTTTTTTATATTATAAAACTAATAAGTAGGCTGAAAGATGAAAGTGAAATTCGCGAATCTCACTAGATAAATTTTTTCATGAAGACTAAGTATTGTTGTTTATCAATTTATTTGTCTTTTTTTATAATAAATTCGAATAAAGCAAATTTCAGTTTGTGTACACTTGAATAATGTTTCGATACAAGCGAATGCATAGTTTTGTTTCAAGAATTGCATGTTTGATTGTGTATGCTCCATCCAATATGATCGCTTGTTGCATGTGATCGTTAACAAATTCATTTTTGTCGAAATTTTGGCATTTTAAAAATATATAGAAAGAAAGCTTTCTTGAAGATGAATACCATTTCTGAAAACAACAACATTCATTATTTCGAAGTACCATTGATGAGCGAATTTATAATTCTATTTATTAATTATTTTCTAAATTTGTCGAAAAGTGCTAATCTGCGTGGGGCAGCTTCTGATTTCCCAATTTCGTTTAAAAGCTTTAAATTTTGAACATTAAACTGTTTTTATCCGTTCAAATTATCAATACCCTTTGATGTTTTCACATAAGCAAATCATAATTAATTGCACAATCGAAATCTGAGCCCCTATAACCAGTATTTAATTTTGCGCTTAAACTAACTCCAATCCTTATTCTCTTCTTCCGTCGATGCAATTGAGGAAAATACGCTTCGAACAAAATATATTACATAATTGCCGCTACTATTATTTCTGTGTACTGTGTGCTGTTGCGAAATTTAAGGTGAAATATGATTTATTATTTGAAAACAAACTTTTATTAATTCTCCAAGACCCGCATTTGTTATTTGGCATTCTTCGAGCAGTAAAATCTTATGCTTGTTCATACTATCAAAAAAGCGATATAAGAAACTATCATCATAAATTGGTTGACTTGGATTAACAAAGCCTATATCTATAAGCCTACAGTTAAGAATTTTAGACACGAAGCTTTCAGCCGTCAAATGCCCATTATGGCCTCGAATCCAATCAATTTCAACATTTTCCACGGCAATTAAGTTCATCAATTTTACAAACCTGAAAAAAAAATAAAAAATCGCATTTTATTTCATTCTTTTCTGATTTTTATGCTTTATGTGTTCTCAATGCCATAAGCGAAGTTTATACAGAACTTTGCGACTAAATTATTTTTTTTAAGAAATTAACGAATCGAACCTTACGACAGATATATAACGTAGCTTGATACGTTCCAATTTTAAAGTATTGCACTTGATTCCTTGTTCACCTAAGCTTTCTTCGAGTAAGTCGACGAATAAATCGGTTAATCGCATATCGACAAAACTGAGATGGTGAATATTTGCGAATTTGGCACATCGGGCTATTCTATCAAAAAAACTCTTTGGAGGAGTATGCAATTTTGTTTTACGCTCCCAATGAGTCCCCGTTCTTTCATTTGCCTCCCATCCATGAAGCTCAGCTGCTGATATTGGTATGCTAATTTGTTCAATTATATTGCAAAACACCAACATCGGCGCAACTTTTCGACGCGGTCCATCATCGTCTTTCGCCAAATTTCGTTTGCGAGGAGAAAGCAATTCGGAAAAACGCCATTTCTTCGAAAATGTATCAGATCTGCAAATAGCAGATTTATTAATGGGAAGAATAGTTTTTATTTACAGTATAATTTTTAAATTGGTGAATATTACAGAAAGCAGAGGTATTTCTGGATTATTTTCTATTTTTTTCAAGCCACTATTTGTTGTTTGAAAAATGGCTTAAAATTTGAGGTCCATTTATTAGTTTTGTTAGCTTTTACTCCACACCCTATGAGGAAATCAATTAATTCACCGTGTAAATTTTCATAATTCATTGCACCTTCCGCACATTTTATAATAAATTTTAAAATTCAGAAATTTCATTCACATTGTTCTTTAATATTATATGTCAAAATGCATATAAATTTCTTAGCGCATTCAGAGAAGAATTAAAAAATTTTTCGAGGCTAAATTTAAAATTTGACATATAATAAAATTTTTTTCAATAAGTTTTAATCACAAATTAATCGACTTAAACAACAAATAAATTAAATTTATAAAATTACCTTATTTTAATTTTAAAACATCCTTTGCTCTCCTCCATTATTAGCTGATTAATTGAATGTTTTGGTAGACTTCGCTTATTATTACTAATCAGAATTTTTAATTGTCGACATACAAGAGTACATTTATCAATCTCTTCTCGAGGTAGATGCTCAAGAATTCGTAATTGAATTTCAGGTGGCAACAGAAAAAGGGAAGACATTATCTGAAAGATTTAATAGGAAGTCGGAAGAGTTAGATTTCGATCTACTTTATTTAGCCTACAAATTAGCTATGATCGGCTGGTTTTCATAAATTTTAATGACAACTGGTATAAAATCAGCCATATTTAAACTGTGAGTTTTAGAGGGAAACCAGGATTTGTCATTTAAAATCTGACAATTATTGGGGTAATGAAAGCAATCTGAAGAAATTTCAACAGTCCCACAAGAACATTAAGCAATAATCAACATTACCTGTCTGCCATCAACAGCTGTTCCACTGTAGCTCGTGCTCGCTTTATTATCATCTGCATCTAAGCTAAAAGCAACATTTTCCTCTCGATCTACATCAATTAATTTTGTTGATTTTGATATCACCTGTAGCAAAAAAAAAAATGGATTTTGTACTTTGACAAATTTCAAAAAGTTTTTTTAAATCACAAATTAAATTTATAACAAATAGAATAATTGACAAAGGAATCGTTTTGCATGGTTTTATGCATTTTGATGTACTTATATCTTCAGATTTATCAACATTATTAAATATAATCGAAACAAATATATTTCTAAATATTGCATCGATAGATAATCAGTTTATAAGAAATTTGATGTCCTATAATAATTCGTAGCTAATATTATTCAACAAAGTTATCATTTGCTAAACGCTGAAATAAAATATGCTGAAAAAAAAATGGCGTAGTATGGTAGTTTACATAAAAATACTAGATTTGATAACTAGCGTTATTTGCACAATAGTCATTCGAAAACAGTCACTGAACGAATGTGCTTATACGTTAACAAAACTGTTCAACTGACAGAGAAAAAGTAAAACAACGAGCAAACCTGTTCCTGATGAATCTCCCTCATCATTTGACGGTGCCAGATGAGTAATTATTTAAAGAGTGGGTTGCCCGATGGAACTAATTGCGAGTGTTGCAATCTAAAAAATTTAACTGATAATAGTTATGAAAATTATGAAATACAGTACGACATTTCGTTTAAAAAAACAATATATACGAATTGTTCTCTATTTATAGATAATATGAATTAATGCTTGAATGAATTTTTTTTAAAAAGTTGCATCTGACTGCTGAACTTTGAATTATTTAGAGAATCTTTGCATGAAAAAAATCTGCCTGAACATCCTTACTAAATTCTTAGAAATAGATGAGTAGAATGGTTTTTGAAAATATGCTAGCATTTAAATTTCGCTATAACTTGGCAAAATCAAAAAAACGGATTAAGTTTTAAGATTTTTTGAATTAAAGAGCTATTCCATGGCAAAATATTCAAATACACATTTGTACGCGATAATTTTTCATTTTAAAATAAGAATATTACAAGGTATAAAGAATCTAAAATTTTCAAAGTTTAAAATTTTAAATTTGCCATTAAGAATCTGCAATAGAAAATGCTTCTGACCGATTATCGAAAAAGTTTGATTTTGAAGAAAATGCAAATGGCCAAATCAGAAAAGGAGACCGAATCTTTTTTGCAAAATTTTATTTCCCTAACCTAACAATGGTTTTTGAAAATATACTAGCATTTATTCATTTCATGTGCATAATAATTCATTTTAGCATAAAATATGAGCGTTATTTTGTAATATTTGCTCGTTTTGAAATTAAAGGATTTTATGAAAAAGATTTTCGAAACTTTGTTGCATACAGTAAATTTATGATGGAAGCCTATGAAAAAAGAGTTGAAATAATGGAAAAAATATATGTATCCTTAGTTACCGAATCGAATTTGGCGACGTTCTTTACGAGTTAATTTTGTTTTTATGAGAAAAAATATGGAAGAAAACTTTCATAAATTTTACAACGAAAATTTTCATAAGAAATAACGGCAAAACGACAAAAGAAATTAAAATAATTTAAAGCAGAAAAAGAATCTTTCAAATCTAATTTTCCCTATTGAAAAATACGAATTGAAGAATTTTTTTTTCATAAATTTACAATACCAAATGAAAATTAATGAATAAATGAATTTTTTCTTAATAGTTCTTTTAAAAAATTTTTACTCACTTTTATTTTTCATCGAGAATATACAAGCTTTATTATCTGATTACTACTTACTATAAGATATTCACTTCTCATATAGTTTATTTATAAGACGATCGGCAACATGGCTGCATATATTTTTTTGGATTTAGATATTGGTTAATTATATGTTCTTTGAATAAAAATGTTCTCTGTCCACATATTGCATATATAATGAACTAATGGAAATTCGAATTTATGGCATTCAAATATAAATTGGTACAAAATTATTTTTTTCACTATGAATTTAGAATTTCAAAAACTTGGAATAGCAGCCAGAAAACTGAAAAAAAGAAAATTTGTATTAAGAATCATTGCGAAATGCAGTGATATTTTTTTAAGATTCTGCGCCATTAGACGATTTTGGCAAAATAAAATAAAATTGTAAATTGAAAGCAGTGAAATGAGATAGTTATATGTAAAAAATAATAATAAGTCAATCAATTTTTAAAAAAAAACGTGTGTAAATTATAAAAATCATAAATTTTATGATTAAAAAAAAAGTATTAAAAATATGGAACACAAATCAAATCGCGAATGAATTTCGATATAAATATAAATGAATTATGAAATAATTCACGGCTTTTAGATAGTTAAAGTAAAGAATTAACATTGGAAAGTTGGTGTTGGAGTTCTACTGCTGGTCTGATTAAAACTGCCTTTTAAAATCTGAATGATGCTGGCGACTCAACTGTACTTCTTATCGTAAGTGACTCGTTAGAAAATTTGCCTAGTCAGATAAGCCGGCGGAGCGAGCTTAAATAAAAAATGGTTAAGGTTCATGGAGAAAAAGTTTGAAGAGCGTTACAGTTCCCCTTCTTATTTCTTCTATTTTATTGCTTCTCGACAAATAATTCTCCTACAAAATCCTTTGATCATTTGCTCGCTGCAATCGAAAGCGCCCCACCCAATGTTATATTGTCGAATTAGAATGCTTGGAACCGAAGGCGTGGCAATTTCCTATGGTCGTTAAGGTTGAACAAGCCTTCTCAACGTGATTATCAGCGGATTATATCACTTTATACAGACTTAAATACTGAAAACAGAAGTAATTTAATTAATGATTGATTGATAAGAAAAATTAGCGAAATTCCATAAAATCGTTCTTTTAATCAACAAAGAACGGAATATTTCCAAAAATGATTTGATACGATGCTTAAAAGTGCATAAATAACTGAACCACTTCAGTTGAATGAAACGTATAATATTAATGTACATGGGGGATAGCGATATATGAAATGAGAAATAAATTTTTGAAGAAAATTTTAAAATTCAACTACTCCGCCTTTATATTTTTCAATATATAAAACGTGCAAGTCCGCTCAACTTTAGATGGAATTCCATAAATGATGACCAAGCTGCTCGGTCCAGTGCCTTGTCTGAAATTAATAGAAGCCACTCTTTTTTTGTCGTTTAGACTTTCTATTTCTTCATTATCTCGCCTGGCTGTATCAGTCCAAGTCTTGACTTCCTCTTCATAGTGCCATAGCAGGATTTAAGCAGTGGTGTGATGTATCTCAATTTCTGCGATCGACGATGAAAATAAACTAACTGGCATAGTGGACTGTTCTTGGCAATATTGTTGTTCGAATGAAGGTGATTGCATGCGAGATTCTATCCACTCGAAAAGCATGCACTATAAACTTTAGGTAAGAATAGTCAAAGACAGAGCCATATTTCACATCTCTATGGTGTTGCAGCCAGATAAATGCCAACGTTCGTTTTGATAGAAATTTCTCAAAGATCGCAGTAAGATTTCGCAAAATGCAAAAAAATCGTTGATTCTCCAGGTATTTGAATACCGTTTTTTGTTTGGCCATGTGATTTAGGAGTGGATTCAAGGTACTTAGTTACTCAGCTACTTCCTCAATCGGTAATGAATTAATAAAAACAGGTATTTCCATTAGGTATTCTTGCATGTAAGACGAAAAGATATTCATGTTGGATATTAATCCGTAGCTCGATTTGTAGTTGTGGATAAGTTTCTGTCGTAATATATCTTGTAAAATTATGTGTCATACTGTGTCATCAGCGTGTTCAGAAACCGTAGTATTGTGCTATAGACTGCCTAGCACACATTTTAAGCGCCAGTAAGCGGTCCAAAATCCACTCTTCTGGAGACCAAGAGCAGGGTTAGCGCTGCCGGAATTATCTGACCGAATGTGAAAAAAAAACCCATTCGCCGAATTTCAACCTAAAACTTAAACAATATGGAGAAATAGAAAAGAGAAATTATATGAATTGGAATAGAAGAAAAAAAATCATTTTTTTAGATCCAATAAATGTGAACAAATATTTATTTTCGATATATATGAACGAGTTATTTCGATTATTCACATTTTTCATACGCGTGGAGCCATAAGATTCATAGCTAAAGCAGTTATAAAAATATCGTACATTGTCTTCGAAAAGCACTGATCAGGTAACGAATGTAATGAATGCAAAACCTTGGTTTGTGAGCAAAAAAAAAAGAAAAAATTTTGACATTTTGGCAAAGCCTAGTTTGAAGTAAAATTGAATTTATATATTTAAATATGAAATGCGGTATGTGTTTGTGACTCATAATTCTATCCTCAAGTGAATTTCGGCTTTATCCTAAGAACCAGTGGAGTAAATTGAATCAGAAATGACGAGTAATGTGAAAAGAAGAAAGCAAATTTCCTCATATCGCTGTGTCTGACATTAAATTTTAGCCTGTTTTAGATTACTATGTTTGCCACTCAATCCTAACTATTAACCATTTTTATTAAGAAAGTATAGAGAAAAAAGCTTTTTCTTTATGAAGAGTAACAAAATGGTAAAAAAAAACTCGCAATGCAAAATAAATAAAAAATCTAAAAATCTTGCTGAAAATTCAAGTCAAAAATTTTATTAACTAACATTGCGACTTTTATTAAACGTATTGGGAGAAATTTTAGCCGAATTCCATGAAAACTGCGCCAAAACTACTAAAATAATCGTTGAAAGCGAGAAATTGATTAATGTTTGGCAGCTAATGATAGGAAATTCGTTGCCAGGCGAAATCATCCAAATCCATAATCTGTTTAAATTTAGCTTCTAAAAAATTATTCTAAAGAATTATGTAATCTTTTCATTTAATGAGATATTAGGATTTATTCCATTTACCACAGCAAATTCGTCTTTTTCTTTCTGATTCCCTTTTTTTTACTAAAAGCATTTACTTCGTTTTAGAAAACTTTTTACAAAAACTCACTAGAAAAATGAGAGTGTTCGGCTTTAAGAAGTTTTATTTTCAACATATAGTGCAATGTCATTTGACAACTGAGAGCTTTTTTTATTATGATTGATAGTGGATAATAAAGGATTTTAAAAATGTCAATAGCT